GACCGCTAAACACTCGAGAGTCGACAAAAATTAAAAGCCAAGCTGCTTAACGAAAGTACTGCGATGTGAGGATATTTCACTATGATGTCCATGTTATTACCATCGAAACTCTTTCAACCGCTAAGCTGTCCTATTTCCAACGAATGGTGAGTGTTTTAGAAATGTGATAAGCACCAGACATTAGCAAATGTTCATTAAACAGGAGAAACATAATGAAATGGGCCGTATTTCAAAAAATGGCGCTCGGGCCCAGTGTTCGGGGTCAGCACAGGAATCCTGTCAGCGATTAGTACCATTACCATAGATTCAACCATGCGCGCAGTAGTGCGCGTCAGCCAAGCTGGTGAATATAGAAAACACTATAACGCGTACTCTCCATACACTTGAAAATCACCGTATAGCGTAGGAAATCGTCATGGGAAGGAAAGTGAACCCATTGACGGGTGGGAACTGCGCCTGACGAGAGAGATTTGGGACTCCGTGTCACGGAAGATTGCCGCAATCCAAATGGTTACTGGAGTTGCGTTAGAGCATGATACGCGAAATCTTTGGAGGCATATAGCACGATAATTTCGTAATCGGTCTAAAATGCTAGCAGAGTGCCACATAGTGGGAACTGGCAAAGAACAAAATAGAACCCTCTTGCGAAGAGTCGTTCTTAATGGCTCGAAGAACAATTTCGAACGAAGTTTCCCATAAGCATCTTGCCAATCACCGCTACATACGGCAGCACCTATGTGCTCGTATATCCATGCAGCACGCTCCATATCAATCCCTTCGCTGCATATTTTACTGCGCAATTGGAGCGGTATGAGCACCAGCATCACTCAACCCTTGTAGGCGGGCGCGGTGGGTGTCCCGGTTGGTGTGTGGCACTTCGAGCGCCAAATTCTATCCTGCTGGGCGTATTGATCCTACTCGTTTTGGGGAATTATCGTACTGACTGCCTTGCAGCTGTTGTGTTACAGTGATTAGCAGGGATGGAATAGTTTTCGAAGGGATCGAAACTTTTGTCTCCCAGAATATGAAAAGCTTGGCTGTTCTAGAAGTGATCCTACCCGAAAGGTTTCCTCATATAACTAGGAATGTGAACACTACATGAACTATAGAGCGATTTGATTTTCATGTAGCGTGCTGAGACACGTGGTGGTTTTGCGAACCAGCACTCTTTTCAACTTACAACCGCGGTGGTGAAGGCTAACAGAAAAGGATACTCGATGGATTGCCACAGTAAAGGATTAGAGAGTGC